TTTGTGTGTGTGTGTGTGTCCAAAAATCCTGAGAGAAGAATGGGGGAGAAGGGGTTGTAATATGACCATCCCCCTTGGAGGGTGATTTTTATTTTCTGTCTCTCTGTCTCTTTCTGTTATTTTTGTGTCCTGGGTGAGCACACTCAACTTATAGAAAAATTCTCTCTCTAAAAATAAACAAAAAATTATCTGTGGCTTCATCTAATTTGGCCAGTAAGTGGGTTTTTTTGTTTGTTTTTAAAGAGTGATTTGTGCTATAGCATGTGTGTGTTCACTGGAGAGACAGAGACACACAGCCAAAGAGGATTATCACCCAACAATCCCTTCTTAATTTTCCTGGGATTTCAGGCACACATGCACACTCATGAGGAAGGAGTTTCAAGCTGCTGGGTTGGGGACTTGAACCATGGTTAGCAATGTGTGAGTCTAGGAACTTAATCACAATGGCACTCATTGGTTCACGTTTTGTGGGTATTAACAGCATTTTAAAAATACAAATATTAATAGCAGTTTTGTGATACAAGCACTTTGGACCTCTCTTGGTCACAAAATTACAAAACTTGTTGTCTTAGGATGGGGTAGTCTCCAGAGCTTTACTTGGCCATTATAAAATCATAAAGGCTGGGGAAGAAAAACAGGCAAAATATGTTCTTCCCAAATTGCTTTTCACCAAAATGGAGGGTGGCAGGTGCAGAGCCCCAGGGCAGAGAGATCCCCAGAGTTCCTGGATGGGACTTAAGTGAAACAGTAGAATGCCAGGAAAGTTAGAATTGCTCTTATTAGGCTTGAGTCTCAGCACCAGGGTTCCTGTATAATTGCCTTTTTCAATGCTTCTAGATATGTCCTTGTCTGTCATGCCAGTCTGACACACGCTTTGTACAGGTGAAAGGCAGATGGTGGAATTGAGACATGTCATTCCCATTGATTAGTGTCTTGCTACTTCTGCAGCCTTTACAAATGGGATGTCAGATGACAAATAGTAGCTGCAGTAGATACCTAAAGCCAAATGTCTACAAGGATGGAGACCTAGTACTGGCTGGGTTTTTCCCTCTTTATAACTTGGAGGAACAAGATATTCTTACACAAAATTACCTGATAAGGCCACCTCAAGAAGTGAAAGAAGATATGTAAGTTGCTGGTTATATGTATATGAAAATGTGATTATAACTGTGTAATAACATGCTTTGCATATATACACATGAGTGTGATTAATCTCACTTGAGAATAATCAAGTGCACACAGAAATGAGAAAAGTGCAGAGTTGTAAACTCAGGATATTCTGCCTTGTTATCCTCTCACTATCTTACTTTTTCTTATTTTCAATGTTTCTCCATTTCTTTCTAGATAGAACAGAGAAATTAATATAATCTGTTATCCACTTTGTTAGCACTGTCCCATATCCAGTCTTTGGGAGGCTCAGAATGAGTAAAATTGTTTGTACCTTAGCTCTTTTGCAACCAAATGCATATTGAGAGGCCCATATGCATATTGAGACCTTCTGACATAAAGTTAATGTTAGCATCAAGGTGTTGACTCTGGGTGCTTAGCACTGACTAGGGGATTTTAGAAATGTGATTCATAGAGAAGTCATCGGTATGTAAAGGCCAACACAATATACTAATCAGCAAGGATGGCCACTCCTCAATACAATCTCTGTTCTTTTCTCATACATGCACATGTATACAGCATCATTTTCAAGCTGCCAGGCCTGGTCAGCCATGGGGAAATAAAGAGCCTTAAGCATCATGCCACCTGTTCATCCCCTCATATGTTTTCTTTCTTTCTTCTTTTTTCTTTCTCACTTTTCTGCTCAGC